GAGCGCGGTGGCAGCTGGACAGCCTGCATTGGGAGCCCACTTTCACGCCTTACTCGGTGTTGAACCACGGACAAGGGAGGGCCCGGCTCTGCCCCCGCTTCCCTGTGTGTAAAACGGAGAGAACGATGAACAAGAGTGCCCCAGCTTTGTGCAGAGATCTGGGGAGGTAATAGATGTAAAATGCCGAAAGCCTGCGGCCCCTCTTGGATGTAAAGAGCTTACTCCACGGGTGACCGCAGGGCTCCAGGAAGGTTCTGTGGGATCTTGCCGCCGCGACTTGATTCCGTGGCTATAAAGCCAGAAAGCACCGCATCGTCACCGTGCCGAGAGCTGTATGCGCTCAGGTCAGTTCCGGCTCGTGGTGACCAGAGGGACGGAGTAGAATGGCCCCGTGGGGTTTCCAAGGCGTTCCCGTGTGATCTGTATAGAAGCCGACGGTGCATCTTCCTCCTGGGGGCAGCTGGTGGGTTTGAACCACTGGCCTCTCGGTGAGTGGTCGAGCACTTAACCCTCGCACCACAGGGGTCTTCAAAGCAACCACGGACAATGCACATAGCACAGCCGTGTCCCCATACAGCCTCCTTAATGCACCTGGAATGGTCGTGGGCCATGGGCATGCACATCAGCAATCCTCTTTGGATTCCCCACACCCCCTCCAACCATTTAAGAACGTAAAACCCATTCTCGTTCAAGGATTGACTATACAGACACCACAAGCCATTGCCGCAGAGTCTATCCGAACCCACAGGGACTCTTTAGGACAGAGGGCTCCCGCGGCGGCCACCGAGTATTGTCCAGTCCTACGGGAGCAGAAAGCTATGTCTTGCTCTCAAGAACTGGCTGGTGGGCTCTGGCCAGTCACTAATCTTTCCGTAAGCAGCTGGGCAAGTGACCACGGTGCCACCGTGGTTCCCAGGGACAAACACAGGCGGCAGGACTCGGCTCACTGGCCCGGGGAGGAGCACCAGTGAGATGCTGATGTGACCCTCACAGGCCGTGATTTGATTGTACGGATTCCTGCCTTTGCTTCCACCCAAGTACACACTGCGCCCTTTCAACCATGCCTGACGCACAGGACAGACAACTCTCGCTGTTGTCTGAGGAAGAAAGAGGGAGCGAGGAGGGGGGGACTGCTTAAGGAAAGGTGGGCAAGGGAGCAGACAGACCGGGGTGTAAAAATCAACGGGGTCAGCAAGCCCAGTCCTTCGTGTGCCTGGGCCCTGGCTCGCTCTGGGCTGACCATGCTTCACGCAAAGGGTCACCATGAGGTCCTGGTTAAGGAGGGGCTGGTCTTGGGGTGATACAATGTTAGATGCTCCCTCCTTTGTTATAAGAGGAGTTGCTTTAACTTTTGAGTGGACATTTGATTATTTCTCCAGGCTTGCTGGTGGGCCTGTAGGCCATGTGGGCACTTCTCCTTATAGCCACTAAGTGGCGCCCTTGCGACACAAATAAAATGGTTGTACCCGATGAACAGCGAGCCCTAGTCTCAAGATCAGAGAGAAAGCAGTTGTTTTCAGGCTGCGTGGTGAAACGGAGGCTCAGAGGCCGGGGCATCGGGGGATGGAGCTGATTAGCCTCTCGGGGCCTATCAAGAAGTCACAGTTAGAGGCGAATTGAAAAATGATTGATTTCCAATGATTAATTTCACTCCCTCAATTTCCTGCTCTGAAACCCCACCTGAGAACAAACACAGGGATCCCAACACCACAAAGCTTCTTTGGGGCGGGATTCCCAGGCAACAACAGAGGGTGGAGTTTTAATTTTGAGATAAATAGCAAATGATTCCTTAGT